AGGGATATGCAAGTGTTATGTCTCCAACTTGATGGCAAAGTTTGTTTGACATGTTAGATACCGTCGAAGCATCAATTTTTTTGGATAAACAAATTATAGAGAACTCATTTCCAATACATCCAAAAAAATTCCAGATTTAAACAAAAAACTTTGGAAACTCCGGAATTAAAAAACCAAACCCAAGTAGTCGAATTTTTTTTTTATCAAAAGTGTGGAATTTCTTTTGGAGAGCAGTAGAAATATAACTCTAGAAGGAGTGCATGACAGTGGATTTTTTGATCCTGGGCTCTATGTGGAACACCTTCGATGTGTCCTCTGTGTGTGTTGAGCAGCGGAGAGAGATAGAAATAGTGAGACCAACACCGTATATTGATAAGCACCTATAACTTATTTGACATAAAACAACATAGTTAATTACTGATGAGTGCATAATATTGCATATTTGACGACCTTATTACATGAATTTTAACTCAACTTTTGCATTTAAGTACTTAGAGTTAGCCGAAATTATGAATAATGTTGAATTTTCGATGTTGCAGGTAATTATAGCTTAAATGATAGATTTCAAAACCTTGCAACTAAGTGTGGAGGAGTGATGAAGAGATGGACACATTACATGAGGATTTGGAGGCTTAAAAGTGAAAGAAATCGAGGAGGTATTGGTGTTTGGTAACATAGGCATCAGCAGCCACACCATTTTGTAGCAATACCTCGGTTTTCCTCCTTTTTGACCATGATCCACTTTGAATATGAAAAAGTGCAAAAAATGAAAGTTGTCGATCTGGATGTCTTCTGTATTGTGTCAAAATTTCAGCCAATCGAATAGTTGGATCAAAAGCTATGACGATTCTACAAAAACTAGTCCGGAGCACAATAGTACCGGTACGCGTACCGGTATGCTAAGGCTACTGGAGTTCAGTGTAATGGTACGCATACTGGTACACTCTGTCGAAACAGCCCAGAATGCCTGCAGATCATCTCCACTTGCTTGGGGGTCCCACCATTGATTCTCTCACTTGCCCCCTAACTTCCCTTGAACATTTACATGCCTCATACACCCTTGTTGAAGACTTTGGAGGCTTGGCATTCAATGAGGAAAGAGAGAAGAGGTGAAGCCTGGGAGTGTAGGCTAAGCCTGTGCTAGCCTACATTGCCCATCCATTCAGCCCCCTATTCATGGGAGGCCTTTCACACAGCTAGAGGGACCCTCCATGGACGAAAATACAAGGTTCTTCACCATATATTAAGCAATGAACAAATATTTTGGTGTGGCTACCTAAGCTTATAAAATCCAATGAATAAGATGATGAAAAGTGTAAATTTATATTTTTGCATTTTCTTTTCCATTTTAGTTGTACTAATCTTTCAATTTCTTGTAATCCTTAACTCTTGCACTTTAATCTCATTCATTTCAAGTTTGTTGCAAGTTTAGTTACATGTTCTTGGATCTACCATTGTTATATTAAGTTTTTCTTCATTTCAACTTTTAAAATGGGTATTGAATATTTTTCTTCATAGTTTAAGATTTCCAGCATTAAGTTAAGTTTCATGCTTCATATCCTCATTATGTCTCTTTACATTATGCATGTCTTTCCTTTGTTCATTAATAGCTAGATTTTAAGTTGGCTAATCCAAGGGAGACCACCTCTTGGGCATGCCATTCCAACTCATGATCTTTCCACCTCTCAATGTACGATGGTCACGGTGTATGCTTGAATCCTCACCTCCAATCTAGTCCCAAGCTTCCCACAAATCAATCATTCATCTATGCACCATTAGGGGTAGGTTTCGAGTTGATTTGGTATTCCCATTAGAATGAACCCTTAGGATTAGCCAACACTTGTTTTCTTGCATTTTCATTAAGAACAAAACTCACCAAAACCAACTACAAGATTTTACACTTTTCCCTTCTTCACAAAATCACCATCACCACACTTGAACTTTCCTTCCTTGAGGAGACGAACTTGGAATGCTTTTCCAAGTAAAACATGACACTCAAAAGACTCATTGTTCTTGGGGAGCACTTTTGTTCACACACATTTCATTCCTAACATTTTGTTCATTTCATTTTCCATTATTCTATGGCCCCATTTTCCACATCTTTCCAAGGGAGAGTGACACTCCCCTTCACACACACCATACATACACATTGAGGGATGGCGTTGAGAGGTTAGAAATTTGCAACGAAATACATCAGGCAATTACCTGCAATTTCAATTGATGCACCCATAGGATAGCTATTTTCCATGTTCCAACTTCAGAAATCTCTATTGATATTCTCCTTGCAAATAAAATTAAAAAAAAATAAAAGAGTAAGAAGATAGAGACATGAGTTTGAAGTACAGTGAGAGTTTAAATATGCCTCAAAAAATTAGGTACCAACAATGTAGTGGTAATGGATATTTAAATCACTAAAAATTAAATTGTAGCTAAATCAAGACCAACAAAAAATAAAATCTAAAGATATCCAACAAATGAACATTAGAGAAGAGTAGAGAGGGACAGTGAGGCTCACCTCAACAGAGTAAATCAATGTGGATTCTCAAATTCTATGGAGAGTGCTTAGTAACCCCAAAACAATATTGCCATACGATCTAATAACTTCAACTACCAATAATTTGCATGAACATAAATGAAAACCCACCATAGTGGGTAACACATTCTCAATGCTCCCTCTACACCAAAATCAAAAAAAATTCAGATGCAAAAAAAAAAAAAAAAAAAAAAAAGGTGAATAAACAAACACATGGTGACACAAAGAAAACACATGGTGGAACAAAGAAAACCAAACAATTGAGCATTGGAAAAATTTAACAAACAATTGGAAGTCGAAAAAATTGAAGAGAGATTCCAAACAAATTTTCTACAAATTAATAACCCATACTTACTATATCAATCAAAAAGTTACAATAATGAGAGGAATAAAATAGGGTAAGAATCACACAAATTGAACATATAGGTTAGTTGTGCTACTTTTGAGTCTTTCTCGATGAATTAGCTCCAATTTGCCTTTCAAGACATCGAACATGTGGTTAAAAGCACCAAGAAATGAAAACAATGAACCATACTCCTGAGTCTTTGGGAACTTTTTGACTGCAAGTCAATTGAAAGAAAAGTCTGAGAAAAGGTTCACCATGCTTTTGATATTACTTCTATTGCCTTTCATCGACTTTCATCTTTGTCTCAATAATGCCAATATGTGTTTGGTTGTTGTGAGACAACCTTTAGGCTTTTAACAACCTATTGATCCCTTTTTATTTAAAACAAACTGTTATTTTTTAATGTTTTGCAAAGTCAACTCAATTCAAAAAAATATTGATAATTTTTGGTTTTGTTTCAAGTGTTTTTTCTCGTGAAGATATCACATATCTAGCAACCCGTTAAATTCATGTAAATTATAATTTATTTCAATAAATTAAAATATCTATTAGCTGGTATGAGCTCCTAGAACATCCTCTATAGCATACATAAGAGAAATTCAATGGCACTCCCTATAACAAACTCAATCAACAGCCACCATTTCACAAACTAAGTGACAGTTGCATTGCACACCTATAATACAAATTAGGCATTGCAAATAAAAAAAAATTCATAAATAATAAATAAAATCAAAATCGATATTTTTGGAACTAAACGATAAACAATTGCTACAAAGGAAGTAATCCAAAACCATCCATTGAATTACAAACAACACTAAGATCCTTGATTCAGGATCAACAACTATAAAGAGATTCACAATACCACCTAGGCTGCCTCATCCTCCCCATAAGCCTTGGATCAAATATGTTTCCAAACAACTTGTGAGTGAATTTCGTTAAGATAACCCCGCTCTTCCTGTAAGGGTTAATTATAACAGTAGGCAATTCAAGAATTCAATCCACATAATACCAAAAAATCATAATTTTCTTTTGATTTCAATTCCTAACAACTTGACAGAAGAATTGGATATATACAATTAACATATATAAAAAAGGTAAATCATTATGTTCACTAACACTATGAAGCAATGCAAGCAAACAAAAATTAATTTCATGTAATAACACCACCGACATTTGGCCATAGAAAAACAAATTACGGATTTTAAACAATAGGTATGAAAGCACTAAAACTTGCACATACCCAATTGAGATTAGAGATAATTGAGGAAAGATAAATATCGCCACAGTCGCATATTCAATCATCCAAAGAGCCTTGGGTCAAGGATCAAAATAACAACCCATAACAAATCATAAACATGAAACACAAAGTATGGATTTCATTCCTTTCACATGAACGAAGAACTAGTAAAGCATGAAAGTTTAAAACTATTGAAATTACAACAAATTTCACTTTCCTGGTGTACCTGACGCTCGAGATCCTTGAGTATAAGAATAAATAAAATTCATATTCAATACGTAGATTATTGAGCGATCTTATCAAATCCAAAGCAAGGAATTAAGACAAATAAATTAAAGATGCTCATTGAGACATTTCATCGAACATACATTATGTTGTTAACAATTATACCACACAACAAAGAGAATAATTTTTCAAGTGCCAATTAAAATTTTGTGTGGTTGTGGTTGTGGCTATGGGGAGGAGGAAGGGAGTGATGGGGTAGTGGTTGTGGTGGCAACTGTGGCAATGGGGCGAGAGAAGGAAAGGGAGTTATTGCTGTGGTGGGAGATAATTGTGGCAGTGCATAGTGGTGGAGACAGAGAGAGAGAGATGCAGAGCAAGGGAATCCGACAATGCTATACACAAGAAGAACATAAGAGACGAAGTGAATAGATATATGGCAGTAGAAAAAATGTAGTTGGTTAATGTCCCACATCTCATGATGAGAAATGACTCTATATAGACAAACAAAAAACTGCTAATCGGTACATGTGTGAATTTAATTTACTGAAATTCAAGAAATCTCAATGAATAAATATCAAATTTTATTTTCCATTAATACTGATGAGAATATTATGGTTGTTTTATGTTCTTGTAAGAAAAGCTAGTAGGTAGAAATATACCTTTCTTTCCATTAAACTTCTTGGCCTCTGAGAGGTCATCCTGGTGGTATTGGTTCAATTGTACCTGCACTTCTTCTGGGGTAGCTTTGTTTTTCTTGACAATAGCCTTTGCCTCATCGTAGACACGATTGCGTGCTCCGTGTTCTGAAATAGCAAGTACCGAATTTAAATGCCAAAGAAGAGCATCTAACACACCCAAAGGATCTCTCCTAAATTGGGACTTTGAGTCCACCCAAATAGAATTTCTTGCATGATGAAAAAGACCCAACATCCGATTGAATTAGACACAAAAAACCTTTTAGAAAGCTTGTTGGCAGAAAAAATCATATGCACTTGCACACTCATATTCGGTGTACCTAACATGAAGTATGAGTGCTTGATACCTTTTTCTAGAAGCATGATACCTTTACCTGTTCGTGGGAGTAAAGGTGGTGGTGTGGGCTGGTTCTATGAGAGAGTGCTGCTGGAGGTCGGTTCACCATCAGTAGGAGCTAGTGGCTTGGAGTGGTGGTATGAGAGGGTAAGAGAGGAAGCTATGAGACACAGAAAGTGAGACTAAAGAGAGAAAAATAGAGAAAAGGATAGAGAGAGAACGAAGAGAGGATAATGGATTCAAAAATTCAAAGTTGGATCAATTTGGATTGAGGGGAAATATGTGTAGGAAGAATTGATTTGAGACTGTTGGATGAATTGATTTGAAACCTTTGGATTTGTTTGTTGAAGCTGCCCTATTTTATATTATAGATAGATTTCCAAGTTATGTCGCATACTTACTTTCATCCTTGTGTAGTTTTTATTCTTTTAATGTGCTGGTTACGGTGTTTTTGTCAAAAGCTCCTATGAGGTGTTCTCTAACCCTACTTATCTTTCAAAAGTCCTTCATTGCATATCATTTTTTTTGTTGCATTGAGAATAATGCATGAATCAATTTGGGGGGTGTGGTGCACAATTTGTATGATACACCAATTTTTTGTGAAATTTTTTGGTGATGATACCAATTTTTGTGGTGAAATTCACCTTTCAAATGTTTTACAAATATTTCTTTATGAATATTTGAGAAGTATGTGAAAATTTTGAAACTTTTTGCGAAAAATTTCTGAATGTTGAACCATTTTCCCTTATTCAAAGTATGGTGGGCTTATTGATATGTTGATCATTGGTTTGAACTTTGAATACATGCGAGCATAATAGAAGTTTATCTTATTGCTACGAGTATCACATATTTGTTGGCTTTTGAACTCACCCATAAGTGCACCTTGAATATGTAATTTTGACATTTTACAGATTGAGTTTCACATTTTAGAAATCGACGTGCTTAGTGGAGATGAAATAAGTACCTATGTGAGCTTCAGTGGCAATCCTTGTTGGAGAGAACTTACATTTACTCAAGGAACAATACTTCAAATTTCAAATTTGTTTAATAATCTAATTATTATTGTTTTGGTTAGAGTGCATTTGTGTAGTTGATTGACTTGTCTTGAAATGCATAATGCTCCTCCATGCTTATCAAGAGGTGATCGTTGGTCATGTTTGATTTCTTTGAGCCTTTGCCTTTTTTCTTGTGAAATTCTATCCCTAGTGCCATGTTTGAGCCTTGTTAAAAATTCATTTCCATGCCACACGTTTAACTAAGCCAGTGCAAAATGATAAAAAATTACCACACCTTGGTTGTTCCAAGAGCTGACTATGATTGAAAATGAAAAAGAAGGAATGGTGATGCGGAAACCTAGCGAAAGGGATGAATGTTGTGGATTTCAAAAATGTTGAATGAAATAAAATGAGAAATCCAAGAAAAAGGAGAGAGAAGGGGATGAAAGAAGAAAAAAATGATCAAAGAAAAAGGAAAAGAAGAAAAACAAATGAAGAGTGAAGTGATGGCATTAGATTGGAAATCCCATAAAAAGGGAGATCATTTTGAAATAAATGTCATGCACTCGTAACAACCCATTTGTTATCCTCTATCCTTCATTTTATTTCCCTTAACATCACCCTAGGGCCCCATTATAACCTTTGTAGTCCTAAGTGATCTAGAGACAACATGGCGAAAGCACATTTTTAAAGAAGAAGAGAAGTTGATTTTGCTATCTAGTGCCCTAGCATTCCTTTCATGAGATTATGCCAAGGTTGTTTCATTCTTATGCATGTACTTCATTTTTGGATTATATGTGAACATAGTTCATTTTGTGCATAATATTCTATCTCACATATACACACGAAGAGCATGCCATGATAACCATAGTATGATTCATTGTTGGGAGACACCATTGGTGAGAGTTGCATTGGAGCTGAATTTGGATAGTTGAGTGAATGTGAATTGCGTTGGGTAAATGTTTAAATTACATGTCCATTTCACACACACATGAGTTTTAAAATGAATGTGTAAGTGCATACTCTAGAATAACATTTAAAGCCATGGTGATGCTCATGTGTGCTTGATTTGGGCATTTGAACAAGGTGATATGTAGCCTTATGTTTAAGGGATGGGGGAATACCGCTCAGGTTTTTGATATTGGATAGAATTAAGAATACATTTGTCATTTGAATATATGCTTTACATTTTGGGTATTCATTTTGGTAGTTAAACTTAGAAATCCATGTCTTGTATTTTGAAAGCATCAAAATTTTAAATCATATTACAATTTCGGAAATAACTTATGGCATGATCGCTCAATTGTGGTTCACATTTATGGTTTAGGTTCTTAGTGGAGTAGATGTCATAGATAGGGTGTTAGAATGTTAAGGAGTTGGGATAGGTTGGATTGGAAGTGAGTGTTGGAGCATAGGTAGTGTTTTGTAAAAAAGGCAAAACCTTCCGGAAGGTCAAAGCAAACCTTCTAGAAGGTATTGCCTAGAAGGCTAAAAACGAGGGTTTTAAGTTCAATTTTTTCGGGAAACCCTTCACATTTCCCTCAAATCTTAATCTCCCGAGCTCTCTTCTCTTTCTCTAATTTATTCCAAGTTTCAAAGAACAATCAACCACCATCCAAATCTTCCATTCCCATTGCTAGGGTTCATTATTAAGTGAATTCTACCAAAATTTATGGGAGTTCTACTGTAAAACCCTAGGTTTCTCATCCTCCCCCCCCAAATCTCAAGTTCTCTTTGATCTTCCCCTAAACCTTGAACTCCATTGCAATGGTTCGCATGGGTAGGATCTCCCTTGATGCTTTTGAGCCTATTGAACAACTTTTGATGTGGTTTTTGACATTTTTGGGTGTTAGTGTTGGTTCTCATAGCCCACACCAAATGTACGGGTCCGAATTCTCCAAAAACCGTAGGCACTAGTTCCCGCAAGAGGAACGTGGAGGGCCCAAGTAGTGGCAATAGAGAGGAGAAAAATGTGACTTGTTAGTGCTTCATGGATAAGCCCACTATTGGGTCGAATAACAAAGTGGTGAGGATTATTGAGGGTCATGGATTGAGGATTTTGTTTGAGTTGGTTAGTAGGTATAACCTGGACTTGTGTAGGGAGTTTCATAGGAAGCTAAAAGGGGGTGGGCGAGGATGGTAGTGTGCTTAGGATGAATGTGCGGGGGAAGACGTTTGACGTAACCTCGAATTTGATTGCCATAGTGATGAAATACCAGAGGCCTCCCGCTAATACCCCGGTCTACCCACACAATGTCCAGGAGAAAAAGACACTTTCTGAGTATGTACAACTCACATATGAGGACCCGACCCAATTCAGAGGGACGACTCTAGTCAAGGGCCTCAAGCACTCCTACAAGGTCATGAACAAAATCCTACACTACAATCTGAGTCCTCGGGGTTCGGAGAAGAACCCTAATGTGGAGAAATTGGCCCTCCTACACACATTCATGACCTGGAAAAGAATGGACATAGCTCTATTAAACTGGTGGTTCATGAAGGAGTCAGATTAGGCTGCAAAGATGAAGGTGAATCCTTCCTCTTGGCAATCTTGTCACTAGGTTGTGTTGCTGCTCCCTGAAGTTGGCACAATTGGAAAATTAAGTAGCAGCAAGAGGACAATGAGGACTGGGGGTAAGAGAGGTAGTTCGTCAAGACCTGAGCCATCTACTTCTGGAACTTCTACTTCTGCCCTGATCTGCACTGTGTCCCAGTGCTTGGACGCCTTGGAGACTACGATGTATGGACTATCATTGATGGGGACCCAAATCTTTCAGTTTATCCCCGGTGGAACTCCTCTACCTCCGATCGAAACTTCTACCTTTGCTCCCATCACTTCTACAGTTGTTGAGTTATGAGGCTCTGGCGATGACGTCGACGAGGAGAGTGGTGGTGAGAGTGAGTCTGGGAGTGATGATGATGATGCTGGAGAGGGGTATGATGCTGGAGATGAGGACGATGAGTAGGGTGTCGTTGTGTTACTTGTTTTGTTTCTTTTGGTTTTAGGTAGTACATAGTTAGGGTTAGCTTTGTCGGCCTAGTAGAAGGGCCTCTAGGATATTGGGCCATTTTGTTTTTGAACTCTAACTCATTGTACTGAACTTTTGAAAATGATTAATGAAAAGTGCTTGTTTTTTTTTTGTCGTATTCCAAACCTCCAAACATGAACCCTCACATGTATGTATGACTTATATGTGTGGGTGAGTCTCACTCTCACTCGGGTTCAATACAAGAAGTGGGAAATGGGTGTGTGGAATGAATTGTGTGTGTGCGTGTGAACAAAAGTGCTTCCCAAGCATAGAGAGACTTTTGAGTGTCATGTTTGATTAGCACAAAATATTGCATTTTCTAAGTGCATTTGCATCCTTTTTGTTCTAGTTTTTGTGGTTAAAGTGAGTGGTAATGCATTGGTTGTCCTATTTATGGAATTTTAGTATTTTTGTAGATAAAAGGTGATAAATGATGCTTGTTAAGCCTTCTTATAGTGTTTAAGATGAATGAAGATGAATTTCAGTGGTAATGCATTGAACCCGAGTGAAAGTGACACTCACTTACTTACATAAGCCATATACACATTAAGGGTTCATGTTCAGAGATTAGGGAATACAACGGAAACCAACCAAGCAGTGTGGAAGTTTCTTGAACATAGGGATCTATTTTTCTACCCCTTTCAAGCTATTCAGTTCATCTTGCTCGTCAACCTCTTCCTTTTCCACTTTTAACATGCCAGGCAACTCTAAGTGCTCCTCCACCGTGATGTCAATCCAGTTGTTTGCTCAAATTGAGCACATTGAAGTCCATAGTCATGCTCCTGAAATTCAGCTTCACATCATTAGTTGTAGCAAGGAATGGTCCACCTAATATAATAGTAATTTGGGAGCAAGGATTAGCAACAGTGTGAGT